TGAAGACACCTGTGTACTCTAAAATTCTCTTTTGGTTAGCCTTTTTTCTTGTCTTATCGCTTTTTCTAGGCCCTCTATTCAACATTGAATAAATAGAATTATTGTCTCCCACTCTTTTTATTAAGTTTTTTTTTTTTTTTTTTATGTACTAACTGCCTATTATGGATCAGGGTTCTTTAGGAATGGGATATAGGTGATTTCCATTTTTATTCATTTTACTAATGCTTTCTAAAATCACGATAAGCTTGCTATTTCTGTAATAAGAAAAGTTAACTTTTTTTCTTTAAACTTTGGAGCGCCTGAGACTGGAACAAATATGCATTTCACTCGCGGTCAGGCCCAGGACCCAGCTTTGCACGGAGCTGCCAGTTAGTGCCTCTGCTCCTTCTCCACGGGAGCCCCCTGGAAAACAGGACACTGTCCCCATCCCTCCTGCTCCTCCCCACCCTCACTGGCCAGAGCAATGTGTACTTCCATAACCGCTGTTTGAACGGACAGGTCCAAACTAGGATTCGATTTGCCTTCACCCCCACTCTGGGTTAGCACTTTAGGTTTACCTGAGTCGCCATGGAGGTTATTTATCATATGGCCACATCCCGTTGGAGCAATGAGTCCCCGTGCTCTGTCCCCTGGGGCCCACTGGAGGTTCCCTGTGTGTGCGGCACAGCCAGTATTGGGCCTGAAGCTCTTGCCCAAGGGCCGAGCTTTGGGACAGCAGCCTGAACCCCAGCCCTGATCTGCCACCCCTGTGCTGCCCCAGCTCTCATCCCAGGATCAGCGACAGAGCGGCCGTGGCAAGAGGACCCTTTTGGATGGGTTCCTTCATCATCTCAGTTTTACAGATGATGGGACAGACTCAGCAAGGATGAACAAGCAGCTAGCCCTGGGCCACCCAGCCAGTAAGGGCAGGGAGCAGATCAAACCCGTGTACCTTCAGTCTGGAGTCTGCGTTCGCCATCACTGCCCTGCACAGCTTCGGGAGAGACGCTTAATCCCCCACAGCTCCGTCACCATTGAGGCAATGAGAGAAAGGCTAAGGGGACTTCTTTAATTTTTGAAAGAATTATTTTATTTTATTTATTCATTCATTTGTTTTAATTTTACCAGAGAGAGACAGAGAAAGAGAGAGAGGGAAAGTGAAAAAGCAAGCCACCAGGTCCGGGACTCACACCGTGGTCAGCTATTTGGGAGTCCAGCTCCCTTAACCACGCCACCTGCTGGTCCCTAAAGGGACTTCTTAAGGCCCACAGCAAGGAGGGTGATGCCAGGGCAATGTCACCTTACAGAGACACAGGACATCACCTCTCAACGTGGGCAGGACGAGAGTGAGCGCGCGGGTGGCGGAGCTACTGTGATACCAGCCCCACCCAGAGACCTTAGTGTGGCCCTTTTCCATTCTGGGACTCACTTTTCCACATGTAAAACAAAAGGACTTGGACCAAACAATGTCAGGGCTGGACAAGACTCTATTATTGTTGTTATAGGGAGCGCACACTTGCCAGAGGGACAGGGAGAAAGAGGGGGAAAGCGCTCGCCAGGGGACACGGCCGTGCTACAGCCCCTCCCCTGCAATCTCTTCTTGGATTTGGGGCACACATGCACATGTGCCCAGGGTGATTTTCAAGCCACCAGGTCTGGGACTCACATCGTGCAGTCAACCATGTGGGATCCAGCACCTTCACCACCATGCCACCTGCTGGCCCCAGACAATACTGTTTTTCCTTTGTTTTAGAATTATTTTATGTAACTTTATTTATTTATTTTAATTTAACCAGAGAGGGACAGAGTGAGAGAGAGAGAGAAAGAGAGAGAGAAAGTGAGAAGGCAAGCCACCAGGTCCAGGACTCAAACCACGGTCGACCTTGTGGGAGTCCAGCACCCTTAACTACCACGCCATCTGCTGGCGCCAAGACTTCATTTTTTTAAAGAGAGATAGCAGCTACCTTGGGCTATTGATCATATCTACAAAGATATAAGGGGACTTCAAAACGTCTGTGGAAGATGGACGTGAAGTACAATTCATTTGGGTGTAAAATAAACTTGCCTTTGCCGCCTCTGCTTCACCATCTGTCACCCAAGGCAGTGAGGCCTGGCAGATCTTACAGCTGCACAGGACAATGCTGACAGTGGCCTTCTTGTGCCCTTTCAGGGCAGGGCCTGGGACTCCCTAGGACAGAATGCCCCATGCCAAGGAGGTAGGTTTCCCTCAGCCCCTTCTAGAAGAGGAGCTGGCTCAGAGGGGGAGGCGCCGTTGGAGGTCACACAGCCAAGCTCACTGAGCCAACCTCAGCCTGGCCTCTGACGCAAAGCCAGAGCTGTCCTGCACGCCGGGGTAAGTAAGGCCTGCACTCGGTGGGCCGCCGGTGCTCCCGCTGGGGCGAGGCCCTTCCAGAGGCTCCAGAGCCAAGTCATGTCCTTGCCCTGCTCAGTCCCTTAGGAAGTGGCTCAGCCACACACTGGACCAGTGCTAGGGACTCCTGGGCCCAGGCTGGGCTCCTGCCAGCCCCCAGGGAGCAGGGAGGCCACTGCCCGCGTGCCAGCCTTTCTCAGCGAACACTCCTGGGGCAGACCTCCAAGGAAGCCGTTTCCTCACCTCAGAACCTTCAGCCTATCTATGTCTCAGCGACCCTCGATGGACTGATGTGGCTAAAGTCACTTGGAGGACACTCAGCTCACTTTAGGGTAAGTCCTTTCTGGAGGAAATAAACCCAAATATTGGGTCACTGGAAAAATCATGATGTATTTTTCTATGCAAAAATGCATCATGCCTTTTCTTTTTTTCTTTAAAGAATTGTTTTATTTAGCTATTTATTTATTTAAATTTGATCAGAGAAGGACCGAGCAAGAGGGAGAGAGAGAGTGCAAGCCACCAGGTCTGGGACTCGAACCACAGTCGGCCATGTGGGAATCCAGCGCCCTCAACCACCAGCCACCTGCCAGCCCCACATCATGCCTTTTGAAGACCCAATAAATGGCTACCGGAGCCCGGGCTGCTGGGCTGCTGGGCTGCTGGGCAGCTGGTTCTCAGGGACGCTCCAGGGGGGTTGGTGTCTGGGAGCGCAGGGCCCCGCCCAAGGCCTTCTCCTGGGGAGGACTTTGCCTATATGACTTCAGGCCTCTGAGGCGATGGCAGGGGACAGAGGGACAGGCGGCCAGCAGCCACCCAGGGAGAGACCTGTGGCATCTGGAGGTTAGGGTCTCAGCTCTGGGGCTCCATCTTTCCTTGGAAAACAAAAACAAGAGTGGAGACCTCCCCGCCTCTCCCTTCCCTGCCACCCATCTGTCAGTCTGGCTGTCGCCTGCCTGTCTGCCCCGGTGTGGAGGAACTCTGGCCTTCCAGCTTGGTCTCCTCGGGAGTGCACGGGCACGCTGGGGTGAGACCCCAGGAATTGGGGGAAGGCGTTGCCTACATCCAGTAGCTTGAAACTGAACTGCTTTGGGGGCAGGGTCCAGGAGGACCCCACTTCGCCTGCCCTGGTGGTATTGGGGGGACACAGGGGGCGTGAGGGTGGAGCTGGGAGTCGGCGACCTTCCTGGCCCCCTCTCAGAGTCACCCCCACACATCTGGGCATCTGTAAGAGAACGGTGGGGGGGCGCCCATCCCTCCTCCAACACGTCCCCAGACACTTGTGGGGATTTAAGACTGGGAACCTCCTTGCTCCCTAGAAGTGCGTGGGGAGGGCCAAAGGACACCCCTGTGCCCGCCGTCCCAGCCCCGGCCTCCC